GCGCCCCACCGCCTACCTTCGCGAGGGCGCTCGGCCGCCTGCGCACGGAAGCGAGCTGGCTGCGCCTCCCGCGGTTCGCGAGGGCCGGCCGTGCCGCGCTGAGATTCCCGCAAATCACCGTGGCCGCCTGCCGCGAGCAGAGCCGGCCTTCGTCCAGGCCACTGGGGCCCAGGGATCTCAGCCTGGGCCTGCCAGGCGGAAGGGCAGCCCGCGGCCAGAGGGCCTGTCCTCGTCGGTAAGTTACATTCGATGGGAGAAAATGCGACTCGATTGTGGCGGAAGGGCGGATATAGAAACCCTAAAGGCCCCATCTGGATTAAAAATCAAAAATATGTGGGGAAGAAGATACCCCATTTCCAAAAAGATTTTAAGCACAAAACGGATTGACACCACGCAGGGAGCAGCTGGAAGCTTCGCTTCAGGCCACTTTCGGAGGACTTAAAATAGTGGCTGAATTCGGTCTTCCCTAGTATGGGGACCAAGGGCCTGGCACAGTAGTTTTCAAACCCAAAGTAGCTGCAAAAAAAAAAAAGTAGTTTTTTTAAAAAAGAAACAGGAGGCACCTCTGCTTTCATCTTATTTTGCATTTACAAATTTCGGTTTTTGCAAAAACAAAGGTTTTGGGGGGTGGTTAACCAGTTCCAATCAAGAGAGAACTCAGGATTGAAAAAAAAAAAAAGAGGAGAAATTAGGCAGCGAGTTCGCGCGGGCAGGAGCAGGAGCGGAATGTTAGGTCCTGCAGGAGGGAAGACGCTGCCTCCCCACATCTTCTAAAACAAAACAAATTCCGAAAGGGGGAAGAAAAGCCCCAAAGTAAAACCAGCCACAATGAATTCGAGCTACAGACAGAGGAAATCGCACCCAATAATAGGACCCAATTTGAGAAAAAAGAGTCAGAGCGGAGGGGTCGGGCGAGGGAGCTGTTAACTGCGGCCGCACAATGGAATTAATGAGATTAACCAAGGCAATTAGGCCGCCCGCCCAGCTCAGCCGGCCCGCCGCGGGGCTGCCGAATGGAAAAGATTAGGTTAATTTCATTAATTCGCAATCCACAATCTCCTTTTAGGCGCTGTAGCCCCCTCCCCTTGGCACCTCTTCCCCTCCCCCACAACCTCCCTATCTCCCCCCCCCAAAGGAAAAGAAAGAGGCAAATCTGGTTCTGTTTGTCATCTGCATATTACCAGGAACTAAATCCAGGATGACGTCGACTCAGTATAAAACCAACAAGAGGTTCAGCTGGTCTGCGCTCGGTCCTACCCGCGGGTTGAGTTCAGCAAACGCGGCAGCAAGGGGAGGGCTGGAGGAGGGAGAGCGGACGCAGGGGGCGGGGAGGGGCGCGGGGCTGCGCGCTCGCCCGCGCTCTCTTTCGGTTTGGTCCGCTGCAGGAGGAGGGTGGGCCCCCCCACTTTGAGCTCTTCGCTCGGCGCGTCCCCGCCGCCCCCCGGTCCCGGCGCGGGGCTCGGGGATGCCCGCCAGCATGTTCAACCTCGACAGCATCCTGGCCGCACAGTCGAAACGCGCGGCGCGGCAAGGCCCGGGGCCTGCCGGTGGCGCCCAGCGCCGCGGCTCCGGTCGTCTTCCCGGCCCTGCACGGGGACTCGCTCTACGGCGCCAGTGGCGGCGCCTCCTCGGACTATGGCGCCTTCTACCCACGC